AGATGAAATAGAGCCTTCTTGCGCTGGAAATATTTCTTTAGTGCGTACTCATGGTGGATCCAACTACCTTCTGGAAATATTACTCGTCTCTTCACTCGATCTGGAATTTCCTCTACCCATAATTTATCTTCTTCTCCAAGACTCGAGTATGTGGTTAGTATATGCTCCGCTTTGTTTCTTTCCCGATGGGCGAAACTGTATTCGCATGTAATCAGTTGTTTCGCTCGGTTCTTTACTTCCCAAATTAACGCACTGATTTTTGAATGATCTGGATTTGCAAAGTGAGTTTTGAAGTTACCGTTTTTAAATCGCCTTTTAAGATAATTTTTCTGAAGCTAACAATCTTAAGTCTATGTAACACTTGGAATTTCACAGCTTTCACCAATCTAGAGTGTGCACGCAACTTTCCCTTTCTCTGTGCACTTACGTGTTACATTATTCGATATCTAATTCATTACGATTAAACTAATAGCCTACGCCGGAAAAGTTAATGAATTTTACATAAATATTGGCTACGCCGGAAAACTTTCCCGATGGTTTATTTTTCTATCATGTAAATTATAAATTTTACATAAGAATCTTTCACTAATAGCCTACGCCGGAAAAGTTAATGAAAGAAAACATGGGACTTGTCAATTTGATGTAAAAGATGGCACAGCCAGCTTGCTTTCTGGTAATAAATATTGGCTTTCACCTACTTACTATAATATACTATCCGATTAAATCATGACCATAAAGCTCTCTTCTCTGAAACATTTTTTTTTCAACCGACGAAATCATGCAAAAGCTGCCCTCCCATAGCATCCCTTCCGAAATGCCGATTCTGTGCTTCGTAACCACCGATGACATACCCCTCCCTGCTTAGGCCAAGGCCGAAACACTGGGCTGCATTCATGGGAAACGGCTCGGGTAAGCTGATCCCGTTGTTTTGATGAAGACCTAGTGTTAAGGAGACCCCATTACTCCCACCTGCCATACCAACATGTGGATGGCTTGACAAGCTGTTGTACGATGATAAGTTGAGTGGTTCGGTTCTGAGGGGTATATCGGCGAGTGGTTCACTTCTGGTGCGATTCGATGGTGTATCTCGAGCCCTTTGAATGAATGTTGATGGATTTTCGGGTGTGAGCGAGTTTGTGGAAGACATATGATCGTTCAACTTATTGGAATTTCTGTCATCCGAACCTTTTTGAGCTTGTTCGAGCGTGTGTATTTCTTCCACCATTGGCTTCCAAAGCCTTACTCTAGCATTTATAAACCAATTTGATACCTGGTTTTCAACCGCACACTTTCATAGTTAATGTCTGCAAAATGATACCATAAAAGAATGTAAAAAATGATGATCAATGGCACACCTGGTTACGGGTCAGACCAGTTTGTTTGGCCAACATGAGCTTGTCGGTGTCGGTCGGATAACTGAAACATCGAACACAGTTTAAAACAGCAAATAAATTCCGATGACCAGTTTTATCAATGCAATTCAAGTACTTACGGGTGTAGAAAGTGTTCAAATAGCCATGCTCGAAGTACAGTCACAGCACGATCGGGGAGGCCCCGTTGAGGCCGCCAAACAGGTTGGTGCTCATGGAACCCAGAGTTATGAACAGCTCGGTTGTAAAGGCTTCTATCGCCGCTTCCAAACATCGGAGCTTCGTCTTTTCCGGGGCTTGTCGGACCGTGAGACTTATTAATGAACTGAAGCTGGTCTGTGATTGCTTTGTTCGAGCACCTGAAATGTTTAGACATGGCTTTCAAAGCCAAGTTTGCAAAAGGAGCAGCATTTCCCAGTCCTGCAACATACTCGAACGATGCAACTACAGCTTGCATTTGTTGGTAATACTGCTTGTAGCTCCTGTAAACCTGAAAAATGAAACTCCATTAAATTAAACAAGACTCAATTCTGAATCCCATAACACAAAATTCATCACATTAGAGAAAGATAAGCACTCTAATTTGTAGGCTAGGTATAACCAATGATGCTTCCCACAAACTTTATTTTGGTGTATAAATCTTCTCAAATGGATTCCTTCAATCACTTTTTTATTAGTTTGGGTTAGTTTGAGTGATTACAATATAATATATATTCAAAATTTTCTCAATCAATTAACAGTAAATACACACACCTTACATATTCAACTGCTCAAATCCGAGAATTCTAAAAAAAATATCACTCATTTTATCCACGAAAGTTACTTGATAGGTTTGATTCTTTCAATCACTTAAAAAGCACACTAATTAGCCTCAAACATTGGCGACACTATCACTTATTAGAGCATTTTATAACACTAATCTCCATGCATATATTCCCACCTATCAACTTTGCATAAAAAGATGATATTTTTCGTGATCATTGAGGCCAAGAATCTAATTCACGTAAGTATTCAATCGAGGAAAGGCTTTTGAGTTTTAAACAACTCAGAGAACTTTCTTTTGATTAAAAAAATGGCAGAAGAAGGTATAATTTTACTGACAAATAATTAGTATGCATGAAAAGAGCACCCAAGATTGCATGTTGGTTCAAGCACTGACTGAACTTAAAGCCATTAAAAAAGTATCTGACGTTTTTATTTTATTAATGCTTGAAACCATCTTCAAGGAAGATTTAAAGGGGAGATAAAAGACACGGATCCAAATAAACCCTTCAACATACTACCGTTTTAAGGCTAACTTTGCAGGGAAAGAAAAAAGAAAATCAGGGCAGCATAAATCAAGAAAAAAACACAAGAACAACAGACAAAAGTACACCGAAACGTGAAACTGCATGTTGTGGAAGCTAACCTCGTCAAGCATTGAAATTAGCCTCGACTTTTTTCTTCTACTCTCACCATTGTCGCCACCACTGAGAGGATCGTCGTTAATACCAGTAGCAGTAAAATTCTGCAATGGAGGCGGCTCCATTAAAGAAGAATCGGGAGTGATTTTTTCAGCGTAAAACCCCCTTCCCACGTCAGAAAGCTCTTCTAATAACTGTTGTGCAGGCCTCAGAAATCTCGATCCCTTCAGAATCAATTCATAACCGGTGGCACTAGAACTGGCAGCACCAATAATGCTTGGAACCACAAATCCTAGCTCCAAAGGAAGATTGTTTTGGTGGGTATTATGAGATGATAGTGAAAGAGACAAGGCTTGACCAGTGGCACTGTTGTAAGAATGGTCGAAATCTCTTATGTTTTGAAGGTTTTGTTGGGTATAAAGAAAAGGGTTGTTGTTCATATCTTGAATCGAGCTAGGGTTCAACGGTAGAGACGATTGTGCATCCAAATAAGGGTGGTGAAGAGAAGCTGATGAAGAAATCCCACCAACAAAACCCATGGAATTCACACCTTTACCGGCACAAACTAGATTACCGTTTTTACCAGAAGCAGAAGCCGAAAGCTGGTGAAAGTCATGGCTAGCAGTAGCGTTGGCTGCACAAGACAGCAAATCGGAGGAAAGAAGAGACGCGTCGTACAAAGGAAGTAAACCGGAGCAAGCTGAAAGAGGAACAGCCGTCGATTCAACGCAGGCTGAGTGGTTTTGAGCCACAATTCTTAGCTTATCTCTTCTGCTTTGTTGTGGGACAAGGTAGGGCTCAAAACCCTCCGCCATAACCACACAAAAACGAAAAAAAAACGAAAACCCAAAGAGAGTAAATAAGCAGAACTAGAAGATCATTTATATGATTGAAACTTTGAAAGATAAAGGTTGTGATTATCTTCTTTTGAAGCAGAAAACTTGGCAGAGAATAGAGAGCTTCAAGCAAACATCTTTCTTCTTTTTTCTCTTACACAAAAAGAAATGAACACGATGTCATGTATGTCACTCTCACTCACTCTCAAAACTCAAAATCTTTGTTACGGTGTGTTCTATTTTTCTTTTTCCTTTCTGTTTCTTCATTTACTTTCTCTGTGATGTTTCTCTCTGGCTATGACCATTAGGAAAGCCTGGTGATCATAGGGTTTTGAGAAAACCGGAGGATGACCGGCTATTTGCGGTAATAATTGAACTAACAGTGTTGCAGATATTTCTGACAAAGGTTTGATGTTTCTCTCTGGCTATGACCATTAGGAAAGCCTGGTGATCATAGGGTTTCGAGAAAACCGGAGGATGACCGGCTATTTGCGGTAATAATTGAACTAACAGTGTTGCATATATTTCTGACAAAGGTTTTGGGAGATGTTTTATCGTTTTATCTAATCTTTTGGTCTTTTATGCTGTGGGGTTATTCTAACCAGCAAATCAAAAAGAAGTATAAAAAGGAAAGTAGTTTTTTTATTATTATATTCTACCCGTATCTTAATAGTTTATTACTTAAATTATTACTTTTATTTTTTAAAAATCACACTTAACATTTAGTTCAAGTTTCATTTTGGTACCACACCGTTAAAAATTTAACGATAATATTGACATGTCAGCATAAGATAATGTCACACCATCATTAAAAAAATAAAAATGGCACGTCAATAGTTTTGTAATTTTTAACGACGAGGTACTAAATTGAAATATAAATTAAATGTTAGGTATGGTTTAAAAAAATAAATTTATAGTACTAAAACAGAATAAAAATAATAGTTTAGATACTATAGGTGAAATTTACCCTTAAAACCCAATTTTATAATAAGAGTAGACTAAATATATTATTATTTTAGGTTTTCTTATATATAAATATACTTCTTTTCTCATTAAATTTGTCTCATATTAAGTATGTATATTATTTTTAGATATAAATTTGATCATATGTCATGTTATATAAAATCAAAGAAATGATAAAATTATCCTAAAAATCGATTGATAGATTGATAGATTTGTTTCAAGGTAAAAAATAAAATTATATTATTATTTATTAATTTTTTTAATATAATATTTTGAATGAGATAATTTTAAAATCTAAAGAGATAAATTTAATGAAATATAAAGAAGAATTTTTCTATAATTGAATATCTAAATAATATCACCATCTAATTTAAATGGCGAATTTCCCGATAAATCACCCTATACGCATTTATTTCTATGTCAAGCACCATTCAGACTATATTTCTCGATCTAACACCCTTTGTAGAAAGGCGCGCGTCCCCTGAAGTGTGTCTTATGCTGAGTTGGATACACGTGGCTAAATGGCGAATTTCCCGATATTCACCCTATACGTAGTTTTGGCTTTCCTGTATAGGGAGATGTGTCGAGTGACTGACTACATGAAAAATGCTATCGGCAGATGTCTCCTTCTTATGCAGTCTTGGGCATGGTATCGATTGCCCTTTTTATGTCCCGTTGTGAAGAACCCATTTGTATTTCCGCTACTATTGAGGTAATTATAAAACTGATTTCGTATATTAATCATTTTATACATTGTATAATAAATTTTTTTCCTTGAATAGGTGGTCTACTGACAGGAAAAATCATCAGGAGCTACCTGATGATTTAGAAAAAATTAGGGTGTTAATCGATCAGAAGGCTGGCCCACAGGTATGTATTTTAATGTTTAAAAATCGATTTTAGATTATAGTTATATAATTAGATTATTATTTTTATAAAAATTATATATATTTGTTTTAGTTTGAATGGGTGACATATTCTAATGATGATGTGAGGATGGTGATCCCACCTGAGTTGAGGGGCCCATCAGATGTTTGGATGGCGATAGTCCATTTGATCTGTTATACGATCGTCAAGTGACACTCTACTGATCGCGTGCTCCAACAATTTGGTTGTTTTCTACCAAATCTGGAAGCACCTCGCAATATGGACGAGTTGTATAGCACAGATCGACACGGCAAGTCAGATACAGATTGGCTGATGAAGCTTAATGCGTGGGTCGTGTTGTGGGAGGATCGACATCGGCTACTTCTCCATAAAGAGCACATTTATGATGACCTATTGACGATTGCTGATGATTATTTTGAGTGGTTCAACAGTAACGGGAAACTGTTTTTGCTTTCCGAGGCTGCACGAGAGCGAACCTTTCAGCGACGTCGACAAAGACGTTCACTGTCACAGCACCATCTTCCCCCGACTCGTGGATGGAGAGCAAGTGCTTCCGGTTCATCCTCAGCTGCACCAGCAGGACCTTCACAACAGCCACCGTCTGCAGCAACTTACATACCGCAACCATATATGATGCCGCCAACATTTAGTTCTGTTTTGGTACCTAAACTTTATTTTTTTTAAATCACACCTAACATTTAGTTCAAGTTTCATTTTGGTACCACACCGTTAAAAATTTAACGGTAATATTGACATGTCACCATAAGATAATGTCACACGATCATTAAAAAAATAAAAATGACACGTCAATAGTTTTGTAATTTTTAACGACGAGGTACCAAATTGAAATATAAATTAAATGTTAAGTATGGTTTAAAAAAATAAATTTTGAGTACTAAAACAGAATAAAAATAATAGTTTAGATACAATAGGTGAAATTTACCCTTAAAACCCAATTTTATAATAAGAGTATACTAAATATATTATTATTTTAGGTTTTCTTATACATAAATATACTTCTTTTCTCATTAAATTTGTCTCATATTGAGTATGTATATTGTTTTTAGAGATAAATTTGATCTCATGTCATGTTATATAAAATCAAAGAAATGATAAAATTATCCTAAAAATCGATTGATAGATTGATAGATTTGTTTCAAGGTAAAAAAATAAAATAATATTATTATTTATTAATTTTTCTAATATAATATTTTGATATCATTATTTATTAAATTTTCTAATATAATATTTTGAATGAGATAATTTTAAAATCTAAAGAGATAAATTTAATGAAATTATAAAGAATATTTTTTCTATAATTGAATATCTAAATAATATCACCAGCTAATTTAAATGGTGAATTTCCCGATAAATCACCCTATACGCATTTATTTCCCTGTCAAGCACCGTTCAGACTATATTTCCCGATCTAACACCCTTTGTAGAAAGGCGCGCGCCCTGCAGCGCGCTTTAGGCTGATCTGGCACCACGTGGGGTAAGGCGCGCCCCCTGAAGTGCGTCTTATGCTGAGTTGGATACACGTGACTAAAGCGCGGCCCCTGGGGCCCGTCTTACGCCACGTAGGGCTATAGCGCGGTGTAGGGGCCGCGCCTTAGCTTTAATGCTGACACGCGTCAGAAAGACGCACCCCCTATAGCGCTCCTTAAGTTTAAATACCCAACTACCCGGGCCATTCATACCCCATCCCCTCACTATAAATACCCCCATCCTCAATCACTTTCATCACACCAAATCCTCTCAACTTCTCTCAAATACTCTAATATTCTCTTATAACTGTTTAAGGTATATTTTATTATAATTAGTATTTTGTTAGTAATTTATTTAAGTATTTAAATTTTTTAATATTTTATTTAATTAATTTTTTTGCATATATAAAATGGAAGGCGATCTACTTCACTTGGATGGAAATCATATATCTCGACATTTTGCTGATACGATAATATTTTAATATTTTAATTTAATTTAAATTATTAGTAATAATTTATTTATTTAATTAATTCATGATTATTAGTTTAAAAATTAATTTTTGTAATTATTTAATTTTAGGAGAGAGACCGTATATTAGATCATTTTATTAAGAATCTTAAGTTAGTGATACCTACCCATGTCTGGCTGTATTTAGAAGAGGCTGGATTCGGTCACATAAGTAGATATAAAGGTCACTGTAAGATAGAACCAGACCTTATTTCTGCCTTAGTGGAGCGATGGAGGCCGGAGACCCACACATTCCATCTTCCGTGCGGAGAGTGCACGATTACACTTGAGGATGTTTCTATGCACCTGGGGCTTCCAGTGGATGGAGATGTGATATCAGGGATGACGCAAGGTTCCTGGACTGATTTGTGTCGGGATTATCTAGGACGTGTCCTGGAAAGTTTTAACGGTGGTCAGATACCGTTAAATTGGTTAGATGTCAATTTTCGGGAGTTGAGCGAGGACGTCTCCGATGATGAAGTTAAAATGTATGCACGGGCATGCATACTGCAACTGATAGGAGGGTTGTTGATGCCAGACAAATCGCGCAACCAAGTTCATTGTATGTGGTTGCGACATCTTGGCGACTTTCATCTGGTCGGATCACTCAGTTGGGGCTCGACAGTTTTGGCTTTCCTGTATAGGGAGATGTGTCGAGCGACTGACTACAGGAAAAATGTTATCGACGGATGTCTCATTCTGCTGCAGTCTTGGGCATGGTATCGATTGCCCTTTTTATGTCCCGTTATGAAGAACCCATTTGTATTTTCGCTATTATTGAGGTAATTATAAAATTGATTTCGTATATTAATCATTTTATACAATGTATAATAATTTTTTTCCTTGAATAGGTGGTCTTTTGACAGGAAAAATCATCAGGAGCTACTTGATGATTTAGAAAAAATTAGGGTGTTAATCGATCAGAAGGCTGGCACACAAGTGTGTATTTTAATGTTTAAAAATCGATTTTAGATTATAATTATATAATTAGATTATTATTTTTATAAAAATTATATATATTTGTTTTAGTTTGAATGGGTGACATATTCTAATGATGATGTGAGGATGGTGATCCTACCTGAGTTGAGGGGCCCATCAGATGTTTGGATGGCGATAGTCCATTTGATCTGTTATACGATCGTCAAGTGGCACTCCACTGATCGCGTGCTCCAACAATTTGGTTGTTTTCTACCAATTCTGGAAGCACCTCGTAATATGGACGAGTTGCATAGAACAGATCGACGCGGCAAGTCAGATACAGATTGACTGGTAAAGCTTAATGCGTGGGTCGTGCTGTGAGAGGATCGACATCGGCTACTTCCCCATAAAGAGCCCATTTATGATGACCTATTGACGGTTGCTGATGATTATTATGAGTGGTTCAACAGTAACCGGAAACTGTTTTTTCTTTCTGAGGCTGTACGAGAGCGGACCTTTCAGCGACGTCGACAGAGACGTTCACTGTCACAATACCATTGTCCCCCGACTCGTGGACGGAGAACAGGTGTCTCCGGTTCATCCTCAGCTGCACCAGCAGGACCTTCACAGCAGTCACCGTCTGCAGCAACTTACATACCGCAACCATATATGATGTCGCCACCTTTCATTCTCTTACCCGATGTCACCGCCGCCACCGTCACATGGTTTTATGACCCCGCTGCTGCCACCGTCACAGATTTATATGACCCTCCTAGAGGATATTATGGGTCTATGTTTGCATATCCAACTTGGGGTTCATATGCTAGTTATTTGGCAGGTACAATCTCATCACCCATAGCCGCTGCATAGACACCTCATGTACAGTTTTCACACAGCGCGATGTCTGGGTTTTATGAGTTTTCGCAGTTATCTATGAGCGGTGGGATAGTCGGTCATACACCTCCAGGGTCCTTATTCTATGTAGGTGCTACATCGTCATCAGCTCCTCATCAATAAAATGTATCTGCTCATGACGATGACGATGATGATGACAGCGAAGACTCACAACCAGTTATACAAAGAAATCCTCCTCGAGACCGACAGTCACCGCCCTGCGGAACACATTTACACCGCAGACATCGATATATTTTGGTTTTTTATTATATTTGTATTTAGTTGGTTATTGGATTTTTTTATTGTAATTTTTTATTATTTATCATTAAATACTTACTTTATTTTGGTAATTTGGTTGGATAATTTTAAATTTTATTTTGTTTATTTTGTTGGACTTTTTGTTAATTTATTTTGATAATTTTGTTTATTACCATTTAATATCAGTTATTGTAATTTGGTTATTATTTACCATTTAGTACTTATTTTAAGTTTGTTGTATTTAGAATTATATTCAAATACCAAATTATTATTAGTTTGATAAAATTAAATAATTTTGTTCGATAACTTTCTTAAGTTTGTCACTTATTATCTCTTTTATTATAATCACATATAACGCCAACGTCCAATATCGTTTTCTTGTATTGTTTTTTTAATCTTCATCAGCGATTATCGAATGACATTAACTTTAAGTAAATGCAAATTAAAGAACAAGAATTATTATTTGATAAACAACTACATCAGTTCCTCATTAATTGTTACTTGATGGCAACAGAAGTTGACATGTTCTCCTAATGTGTCCTGAGTTTATACAATACCCATATTTTTTTGTCGTGTCTATATGTATCTCGAATATCCATATCACAATGAATTCGAGAGGATTTTGGACGACCACACTCTCTCAATAAACTCGGATTTGGTACAATCGGAACCCAATTCTGAACCTCATCAGGGTCGTTGTCATTACCTATGGGGGGAACTCAAATTCGTATACCTTAAAAACTTCTGATAGTAGGTATATGGGATCCACAAAACGGTTATAGTCTTGACGGTTATGCGAGCAAGCTGCTATCACATGAGAGCATGGATACTTCATAGCTTGAAAAATCCCGCAGTCACATGTTCTGTCCCGTAGATTTACTCTTAACGACACAGCTTCAATCCCTTGAAGAGGTCGCGGTAAGTTTGTCACACGAAACAATGCATGTGTTCTAGAGAAGCTTGTTACAGACATTCTATTTGATACAACAATATTTTTTGTAGATCTGCAACTAATCTAGGGTGATAGACATGACCGCCTTGCATCCAGGTTTGAGTTTGTCCCCCGAGCTTCGCAAAAAGCGCCCCCAAACAAAAATATGTAGTTTTTGCCAAAGCTACTACAGGTAAGTGACGTGCACCCTTTAAGGTTAAATTGATTGCCTCAACCAAGTTGGTCGTCATATGTCCATATCGATATCCACCATCATATGCGTTGTTCCACATTTCTTTATCAATGAGGCTGATGTAATCGTATCATTCCTCGTTCTACGCCGTATATCTTGAAGTATTAATTAAAATGTTTGAGGAAGTAGTTCGTAACCTGATCAAAAAATGTAGAACTTACTAACTTTGTTTCTTTGCAAAATTAAAATGATTGAAAGATAACCAATTATTATCAGTTTCACTTACCCATTCACACAAATAATTGACGTTTATCATTCTTCTTGTACCTTCCATGGTAGTTCACAGCAATGTGTCGGATACAATACCTATATTGGACAAACAGTGGTTACCACATTGGACCCAAAGACTCCATTACTGCTTTGATCCCAGATCTGCGATCTGAAATGACATAGATTTTTTCCCTCGTGATAACATGTGAACGTAAGTTTCAGAGGAAAAAAGCCCAACAAGAGAAAAATCAACTGGAAGAATGTTGCGATTATCATCTTGGACAACTGCCAGTAATAAAACTTGCTTGTATTTTCTATACAAGAAAGTCCCGTCGATCTGGACCACATGCTTGTAGTATTTGACAGCATTAACGCACTGTGGGTAAGTCCAAAAAACCTGGTAGAATTGGAATCGATCTCGAAGAACTCGATCATTATGGTATGCATAGGAGGTTTCGAAGTCCACAATTGTCCCAGGATTCAACCTCTGCACCAGCCTAAACCAACTTGGAAGTTCGTTGTAAGATGCATCCCATTCTCCATGAAGTTTGACAATGGCATTTTGGTTTGCCAACCAAGCTTTTTTATAGGAGACAGTGTACCCAAACTGCATAAACAACTATATGGGAGCTTGCTTTTACCATGGGCATGATGGCCTGACAAATCACTTCAGAGTCCAAGTTGGGATGATCTTGGTTGATCCCTCCAACACAATATGTGTGAGGACCGTTGTATAGCATTAGTTCCCATCTATTGTTTTTCCTCTTCATCTTCGATGCATGAACCATCTAATTGCATCTATTTTAACGTCGGGCACAATGGTATACATATTTTTCTGTCGTGGAGCGGTCGACTTTGGATTGAACATAATTACGGATATTATAATTTTTTATAGTCATCATCGCTTCCTCTTTGCTTGAAAACTCCATACCTAAAGATAACTTATCATTATTTATTAATGAGTAATATCCATAGTCACCGAGATGAGACATATCCGCAAATTCTGGCCCGTACATTGCACCATAATCAGCTTTATATATGTGTGCTGGAGGGTCATTTGTGCCATATTTGAGGGAACTTCGTCTACATCATCATCATCATCGAAGTTGAATTATGGTGATTCTGGGTGCATGAATAGTTCAGTCTCAGCGCCATCCACACCTGGCTCACGAAGCGGTTCTTCTGGTGGAGATGATGGTTTCTTCATGCTCTTCATATTTAGGTCGAATAACCTACTACTTGCACGCCTTCCCCTTGAACTAGAAGGCATATCGATATTGAGTTCGAAAAAGCTTGCAATCGAATTCCTCCCCCTTGAGCTTGAAGCCATCATTTCAAATGGAAACTGCACAGATTGTTGCGTCGAGGGCATCTCCATATTAATGTCAAAGAAATTGGCAGATGAATGTATTCCCCTTGAACTGGACGTGATGTTGCCATACAAATTGTTCGCGGATTCCCATTTTGACATTAAAATCATTACACATTACTATAGTCGGGTTGTCAACTTGTTCAGTTAGCCCATAGTGGGAGCTTAATAACTGACCCCGAACAACACGCACTTGAACAAACTTTGCATACATCTCAATATCGGCGTCTGAATAATTACTTTGAGAATCAACCATCATTTCAACATCATCATTGTTCGATAGTTCGAACGCCGTATAAGTTAATGGCAACAATGATGTTGGAAATCTGTATTGCAATGACGACATTCTTCTACTACTTCCAACATGAACCTTCCTCGAAATCTTCGTTATCAGCTCCTCAAGAGTTATGTTTCTCTTGAATGATATTTTAACACGCTCATTTGATACGAAAACAGTGCCGATTTCATCTTCTCTAATTTCTCTATCATAATAAACAATAGCTGAAAGTCGCGCCATTCTTAGAGTTTAAAAGTACGACAATATTATATCTGCAAAAAAACAATTGAAACAAACCTAATTAAATAAATAATATATTAACGAAAATATAACATAATAAAATTTTTACACATAAGCGTAAATAATTTAAATAATATAATTTTATATTATTACCTACACCGTAAAAATATTTCGACGTATGCTCCCGCTTTCCAATTTCACAAACACAAAAATTAATTGAAAACAATTAGTATAATATTTTTTCAAATAATCATATATAATTATAAAAAAATATTATAACAAAATTACTTTATAACGAAAGATCGAACAAACTTCTTAATTAAATATAAGAGGATTGTCGGATGTTATTTACTGATTGAAAAGATTATTGTATTAATTTCTCGATTGAGAGGGAGTTGTGAGAGAGTTTATGGTGGAGAGTGCTATTTATAGCGGAGAGACGATGTTTTAAAACCGAGAAGTGCGGATGAAATTATGTAAGGCACGGTGCAGGGACCTCGCCTTGTATTATGCATGTGTGATAATTAAAAGGAGCGGCCCCTGCACCGCGCTATAACCCTACGTGGCGTAAGGCGCGCTCCAGGGGCCACGCTTTAGTCACGAGTATCCAACTCAGCATAAGGCGCTGTGTTACCCCACGTGGCGTCAGATCAGCCTAAAGCACGCTGCAGGGGTGTGCCTTTCTGCAAAGGGTGTTAGATCGGAAAATATTGTCTGAACGGTGCCTGACAGGAAAATAAAGGCGCATAAGGTGATTTATCGGGAAATTCGTCAATTTAAATAATATACTTTTAACTAAAATTCAAGAAAAAAAATAGATGATTGGACATGCTTTTATATGTGTCATCCCTACTCAAGAAGGATGCAACTGCGTATTTTTGCACACGACATAATCTTAGAAGTATGGCTGATGAAACATGTCATTTTTTTTCAGTTTTGAACAATACATGATGAAACCTACATATCAATGATCGAAAAGAAGATAAGTTAAACTAATGGAAAAAAAACTAAATGAAATTTCTTCAAAAAGAAAAAAAATATGCACCGTATATATTAAAGACACATACTTATATAAATACGAACACGAACAAAACAATAATGATGTCATATGTTTATAATTTTTTTCAATCACTAAATTGATGTATATTTATATTTAAATATATATCTATTAAATGAGTAAAGATAAATAAATATGAATATGATGTTATTACATTCGTTCATCTTAACTCGTGCTTGTTTTAATATATATCTTCAACATTTCTTCTTGTTGGAGAAAATTAGTTTATTTCTTTTTAAATTTTTTTTAGTCCACGATCGTGTACTGCTCAACATCTAAGAAAAACATCTTTCCAAAACCGTATCACGTGGAAATCAGTCTTTAAACCTAAATGGGATGAATTATACTTCCCTGACTTGGGAAGAAATGGTTTATCGGGCAAGCTCAACTTAAAAGTGAAGTTCTTTAAGATTTCTTCGAATGCATTTATCTATATCTTGTGGAAGAAAAGAAATCAGAGAATGTTTCAGGATCGATTCAAAACTATCGATATTATGCTCAAAGAAATCATTGAAGATGTTAGTATTAGGCTTAGAGGTAAATCTATAAATAGACTCGATAGTATTAACTTTTATCTTTGTAATGCTTGGGATATAGTTTAACTCATCTTTGGTTCTTTTTGTAATTAGGTTGTTTAACTTTCTTTTATTGATTGGTTGTAGCAAAACATTGCTATTTTGGGTAATAAAATCTGAATTATCCAAAAAAATACGACCCATTAGTTACATATTTTCAAATATAATAATCGTTTGTTTTTTTTTAGTTTTTTATTATTTTTCTAGTTTCAAAGTTTTATTTTGATTAATCTGAATATATTTATGTTGTACACCTAATTTTAATGATTAAGTGTTTCAATAAAGATTTTTTGCCTAAATAAAAATTCAAGCTTAAAATTTTACTTAAATGACATTAAACTAATTATTACTGGAACCAACTCCTATTGGTTTTTAATTGTAGTTTGTTTTAAAATTTGTTGTCTAAAATACGATCATTGCCTGTGAGGTGGTGACGCACGTGAGGAGATTGATGAGTGAAAGAGGGGCTGAGTTTGCCGATTTTAACACTCAATCCCATCCATTCCACCGATGCTTTTGATTTTTTATCTTTACGAGGTTTTCTTTTCTTTTTAGTTATTTAATTAATTCGTACATTATTCTTTCCTTTCTCTTTTAATTCAAGAAAACAAATCTTGCTTTGGGATGGAGATTACATTACAATCATCAATAATGTGAGAGTAGGGGCTATTATTGAACGAGTTTATTACGAGTTAGGTACTTCGATTCACTTATTAGAAAATTTATTGTTCGACTCTTTACTCATTAAAATTTTATTTGGTTTGTACTCGTTAAAAATATTTATTACTTTTTAAAAAAAATTAATGAATTACTCGCCAACTTATCAAGTCGAGTTAGATATTTCTCGACTTAACTCGTTAAGGTTTCAAGTTCGACTCGAGTCAGCCTGAAACGAACATTGACAAGTTTTGAATAAGTCGAATTAAAACATATCACGAGCTGCTCAAACTCATTAAACACCCTAAATGATGAGTGACTTCGTTATATAAAATTCAAGTTTATTATATTTGTATTGTTAAAATTTAGGTTAAACTATATATTCATCCAAATATCACTTTGATTTCGTTTTGATAATTCATTTTTTTTAAATTATGCATAACATTACGTTTTGGTTTCATTTTAGTCACTTGCTATTAAAATATTAACGGTGATACTAACGTGTTGTCGTAAGATAATGGCATATCATCATGAAAGAAAAATATCCAGTCAGTAGTTTTGTTAATTTTTTTAATGTGGTTGATCAAAATGTAATATTATATATGATTTAAAAAAATAGTTAGATGACTAAAATAGAATTACTTAAATACTCGGTTACTAAACATGTAATTTAATCCTAAATTTTAAGATTTAATGTATTTCAAACGGTTTATTGATGCAGCATAAAGTTTTAGATTACATGAATTTGAATGAATTTTTTCGTAGTTCCTTTTAGAGACGAAGCCATGTATGGTATTGGGAGACACTGTCCTTTAATTTTTTATCATTAAAATATATACAGAAATAAATATTTATTTGGAATTTGAAAATTTAATTTATTTTAATTTTGTGATTCTCATTTTCTATTATTAGTTATACAATGTTTCCTTGAATTAGAACTCTAACTCTGTCCTTGATTCCTTTCGATCTTATTCATAAGACCGTTCTTTGTATACTTAAAATTTTCAAAGAATTCATATGGGATTAAGCTCCACAAGAACACAGGTAGGCATACGATTTAAGGAACCTTCTACTTCTTGAAATTCATGATTTTTTTAATATGACGTCCGATAAATTCGCATTATTTATTAAAGTTAAATTTATTGTCAATCGATCATATTTATTAAATATGTCAACTTATAAATAGTTATCATGACCTTACACCTGACACTAATACAAAAAATTATTATAGGTCGACAAAAATATAGAACCGTCGTCTATACTTCTTCCTCTTCTCTTTCCTTATGGAAACAAAAAATCTGAATACGAGCTAACTATCATTTCATATGCAACTTTCTATCTAAATCAAAATACCATCACAAGTTAAATGTTATCATCAATAGATTTGAATGTTTACATATATATATAAAGGTAATAATGACCTAAAAATAATTAAAATTAAAATTAACAAAAATTTTATATATTACTTTATTTTATATAAAACATAATATAAATTACACAAAACATTATTCAATTACAACAATTTTCAGAGAATCACAGTCAGGGTCATTTCTGTAGGTGGCCATTTGGCAAACACCAAAATCAATTCTCGATAAGAAAACATACGGAATTTGTTTTATGGTAGAACAGCCACGTGTTTTCATTCCTACAACCTTATTTTCAAAAAGATGTATAAGTATATATGATTAACCTTTATTCCACTGGAAATTCAATGTCATTTTATTCTTTTATATCATATGATTCTTTCCCTAGCTATTACCTCCAAACTGTTACTTTTTTCTAAATTGATTCTTAAACTTTTGAATATTCTAATTTCATCTTTAAACTCTAACTCTCATTCTAAACTAGTTTTTAAACTTTTTGATCATTCTAATTTCATCCCTAAACCATGACCCTTTTTTTAAAGTAGCCTCAAAATTTTTGAATATTTTAACTTCATCCCCAGATTTATCCAAATATGTAATTACTTTCAACCATAATTTAACCTAATTTTTTTCTCAAACGAATAATCATATAACTTGGCCTAACAATTTATCAACAAGGGATGTGATTAATATATACGTATAGTTTGGGATAAAATCGGAATATTCAAAAAGTTTGGGGACTAATTTAGAATGAAGGTTATAGTTTAAAGATAAAATTGAAATATTCAGAAGTTTGAGATAATTTAACCCTATTCGATAGTTGCTGAAAATGTTCAATGGTCTCCACCACCCGTGGGTTGGATTTGTCTTAACTCTGATACTGTTGTATCTTCGATCATTGGCGTTGGTTCAATTGGCGGAGTGTTCCGTGACCACTCAGGCTCACACCTCCTTTCTTTCTCCAAAAACATTGGAATCACAATGGCGGAACTTTGGGGTATAGTGGAAGGGCTAAAGATTGCAAAACGTCATAAATTCAGCCACATCCTTGTTCAATCTGATAATACGGAAGCGGTTAAGCACTTGAATCCTCCATCCCATAATAGCCCCTTCCCTCTGGTGCGTTCCATATCCCTTCTTTGCGAGGAAGGTCGGTGTATTTGTTTCAAGTCCAATATGGCTGCTGTTTTCTTGCCGAACTTGAGAATTCTCCGATCTTGACAATCTACGAGGCATCCTCCCCCGGCTTGTTTGATTTTATGCATCGAGATTCCTTTGGACCCATGAACTTTTAATGTATTGGCTATAGCCTCATTTCTTTTCAAAAGAAAAAAAATTGAAATAAATTGAGATGCAATCTTAATTAAGCATAACACAAAATAAAAATAATTTGAACCGAACATAAATATAACGGCATGTTAAAATATGAAATAAAATGCA